GGGTTTGACTCCCGCAAATGCCCAAATTTGTTAAAACGTTGTGGGACCCAGAAAACCGCCACCCCTTGCGACTTTTTCCCTTTGATGAGACTGCAGGGGTCGGGGCCCTTCGCCTCGCCCTCCGATTTCTCCTGGTCTTCGGGGCTACTTGAGGGACAAAGCGGGGTGCCTTCAACTTACTTCAGTGGGTTCACTCTTGGAAAGGGGCGAAATAAAATCCTGTGCATGAAATGTAGCGGCCTTGACTGGTTCGGCCAACACATTTAACACAGACCTTGCCCTTGGCTTGCGAGCTGGTATGATCTCAGCCTCCGCTTTTCCTACAATGAAAATAAGAGGCGGCGAGGAGAGGAGGGTGCGGTAAGTGATCCTGACCTGACTTTAGCTCAAGTTTACCGTCTCAATTCAGAACCCAGCTAAGGGCCAGCAGCAAATCCATTTCGGCTGATTTAGTCCCCTGGAAGTGAATGCGACCCAAGGCTACACTTCTGCGCGCGCTTACAAGGGCTCAAGCCCCATTGAAGTCAATGGGACGAACTTCCCAGGCATAATTTCGGGCTGTTGTTCTACTTGTACTTACCTGGGAGTAAGTCCCATGGAACACAGAGAGATTTAAGCATGCGTGGATCGGGAGCCCTCCTAGCTTACGCCAATGTCTGAGGGCAGGGGGAAGTATCGTTATATCCGAGAGCTTGGATTTGAGCAGATCCTGAGCACGCGGACAGAATCGCTTTCCAAGGAGAAGCATTTAGGATCAAGGGGTTACTCGTCCCTGCTGCTGCTTCTAACCTGTCTGAACTGCAGGTAACTCGATTTAACCGGGAAAATGGGTGTCTGTTGTGGTTTTACCAAAACAAAACAAAACAAATCCAACACTAAACCAGTTTGGTAGTGGAACAGGACTTTGGATGAACCACTGCAAGGTGGCGATAGGCTGAAATATACCTTCATAAGCATCATGCACTTAGCAGATAGGTTCCTGTTTAAAGATCCAGGGTCCAAATCTTTTAAGGACCAGAGTTATTCTGCCTCTCGCCTGATTCCTCCCCCTCTCTCAATATTCCAATAAGTTTCCTGAATTGCTTTACTATTTCTGCAACATACCAGCTTTTCTGTCTTTTAGAAACCTTTCCTACCTCGGTTAAGCTCGAAATCATGATATTCCTAACAAACGGATAAGTCAATCAAAGTAAGTAGATTTCTCTCTCCCCTTTCTCTCTGTCTTTGATAGTCCTGTTTAAAAAACACGTTTACATAAGGCCCACATAAAACAGGGTCACGATCCAGACCAAGTCCCGTCAAAGAAAGAAGGAAGCACGTGCCTCGACCTCTTCTGCTGGAAATTAGTGGGGCTTCGCCGCCTTTCACGTCGGGTGGATCAAGTGCCAAGCCTGATCCCACGACCCCTTTCTTAAAAGTAAGTCCATCGGGGCTTACTCCCAAGCAAGCGGGCATAGGCTTGCAAGCCTTAATTTCGCGTGCGAGGTGGCGAGGGTCGGGGTTTCACTGGGAATGCGGTTTACACCCCACCATCAAACGCGCGCAAACGCTCCGCATTCTGCTTAGCAAGAAAAAAATAATATCCTAAATAAAAAAGTCCCATTTACACACACACACACACACACACACTCGCTTCCCCACCTCCTACGTCCGTTCACAACAAGCCACGGGAGCAATGTAATTCGGAAATCCCAAACGAGTTTGGAAATGGTCAAGAAAAATTCCAGGCACGTTGCTCCTTAATCCCAATCAAAGTTTCAAAATTGTATTTTCAAGTAAAAACAAGTTTAGAATTCACCTCTTCTTAATTCACGCCTGACTAACCTGCCCCGGGGCCAAGCGAAAACTTTTGAATGCGCCAAAGGTGACGCGGGACCCCTGTTCGCGAGGGCAGAGAAAGGCTCTTTTCAACACATTAACCATCTACTTAGGACTCGAGGGGAGGAGCCGACAACTGATTAGGGAAGAAGGGGTTTGTGAGGTGGCTTCGGACGGCTGCTTGGTTGTCACGTTTGCATTTAAAGCTATAGACACCCCTCATCCCCCCAAACCCCCACCATCACCCCACACCCCAAAATACCCAAACACCCTAAAGTGTCCTAAACTGCACTCTGGAGTTTACTTAAGCAAAACAAATTAAAAAGTCGTCAAACTGATTTGGGAGGCGGGGAGGGAGAAGGAAATAAACACGATGGAGAAACCGTGTTGGAAAGCCATTTCCTAATGGTGCAGAATTCAAGAGAGAAGTTCTGCCGATGATTCGAGGTCAATGCCCACTTTCCAGCCCAAGCGCCTAAACAGAACCTCTCGACCCGTGCTTCTTCCGAAGTAAGGACCGCCAGTTAGGTCGATGCCACTTACTTGCAGGAAAATTGATTTGGTGTCACACAGTGAGGAAGAGTATCCGAGCAGCCTAGAGTTAGAAGGGAGCGCGGGCTAGGAATTATACGCACGCACATATGCCTACGTTTACGCACGCACTTCAGACCCTGCAAACCTCAGGTTATATTTTTGTCCGGAACGTGGGGCGTCCCAACGTTTTCTCACAGGTCCTTCATCAGAGAGCAACATGCCACACAGGAGAGAAAACACCAAGTAACCCCTCGCTTCAACTCACCCATCTACAGTGGTGCAGGCACCCGATTGTCTGGGTACAAACGTACATGCCCACTCTGCGCAATTTCGCACCCAGCACCTCAAGAATATTGACTAAACCCTCACGGATTGCGATGGGGTTCTAGCGGGCTGCAAGCCTAACACCACTGACCAGCTAGTAAGCCCCATTGTATGCCATAGGACTTACTTCTAAGTAGACATGATTAGGGTTGCACTGTATAACAAGTAGCCTTGCAGGCTTGCATCCCGATCCTTAAACATACACTCCTTTGGAAGAAATTACCATGGAAGTCAATGGAATTTATTTCCAAGTAAATTTGCACGAGGTTACAGGTTCGAGCAGCTTTCTTAGCCCTGTGCAAACCACAGGCACACTATATGGTCGACCAAGCTAGGCTCAGGGGCTTAACCTTTGCAGCTCAGAGAAGTCCTACCGGACTTAACGGGACTTACTTCAGAGAAAGCTCTTTTTTTCTTTTTTTCTTTTTTTTGAGAAGTTAAGGGAGCAAAAATTGGCTTAACTCCGAGTGCTTCGGCTTAACGGGCTTGCTAGCTTGCATAAAGGGGTGGAATCACTGAATCAACACGAGAAGAGATTTTTAAAAAACGAAACAGCATTTCTTGGCGGCTGTTTCTACGTGCAGCAGAGGAAAAACACCAACGTCACTGAATAGATAAGAAAAATGGAATACTGTATTTGATTTTTTTTTTAAGAAAGTTTGTACATATAGATAAACACGCAGTAAGGGAAACAGTGGTATAAGTGTCCTACGTGGAGTTTTAGAAGAGACCCCCAAAGCTGCTATTTAAATACTCAAAAATGCTTTTGCATAAGAGGAGGACAGTGGCACTCTAAGCCTCGTTTCGTCTACCGTTGAGGTCCCTTTTGAAAACCTAGTCCATCACCTCTTGACAACTAAGTTTGTGCAAGGAACTCAAGTCAGGGAAAATGTTTTTCTTTAAAAAAAAAAAAGAGGAGGAGGAGGAAGAAGAAGAAGACGGAGGAGGGGGAGAAGAAAGAGAAGAAGAAAGGGAAAGAAAGAAAGAAAGAAAGAAAGAAAGAAAGAAAGAGGCAAGGGAGAAGAAGGCAAAGGGACAGAGAGAAGAAAAGTCAAAGAGAAGAGCAAATATAATATACAAGCAATTTTCTACACATATATTACAAACTGGGGGAAATGACCGCATCATTAAGATATACATAATTCATATAAAATTTTGAAATAAAAATAAAAATCTGTTACAGTCATAACTATTCTTTTTCCACATTTATAACCAGTACCCACACAGGCAGTGACAGACGTGTAGAAAAAAAGGTGCTTACGAAGAAAATGATTGTCTGTTGAACAAAAGAATAAAAATTCTTAAAAAATAAAATAAAATAAAAACAACGACGGAGGGGGAGAAAAGGAGGAGGCGGAGCAGGAGGGGGGGATGCATCTAGATTAGACCATCGCTTGGACTTTGAGGGGGGGTGGGATTACAGATCCAGAGAGACAAAGATTGATTAAAAACCCAACAAAAAAGGCGATAAACATTTGTTATTTCCCTCTTCAAAGAGTTCCTTTAAACGTTTTTCTTTTTAAAAAGCATCTCTCTCTCTCTCTCTTTGTACAAATTTGATCGGAGTTTTCCTCCCGTCCCACACCCCAGTCTTTTTTTGTCTTTTTTGTTCATTTATTATAGAGAATAGCATATCCCCCCCCTTTTCCCCAGATACAAATTGAATCATCGTCATGCAAAATGGGTGAGATGCTGTCCATGGGAAAGCGCGAACAATAAAATCAAAACGAGGAAAAGAAAAGTAGAGCTGGAACGTGCTTTCGTCCTACAAAGAATACAAATGTCACCTTTCTTTCTTCCTTTCGCCATAATAATATTTATAATAGCAAAGTATGAGTATTAGCATTATCCCCCCCCTCCAGAATCAGCAACTGTCCAACTTGTGGTTTGCTCCTTTATGTTTTTATTTTTTTGCCTAAGTGGATGGTTTGTTTCTTATTTCAATCATTTGCTTGGTAAAGGTTTGGGTTTTTAATTCCTTTTTTTTTAAACAACAACAACAACAACTCTTTTAAAGGTCTTTTTGTAATTTTCTCTCTCGTTGTTTCGCTGCTCTGCCTACGAGCGTTCTGAAAGCGGCTCGTTGTTGCTTTCTTTCCTCGGAGGCCGGGGCAGTTCGGAGAGGGGGGCGGCTGCTCTCGCTCGCTCGGGGTAGGTAGGTGGGTGGGTGGAGAAAGGGGGGGCTTATTTTTGCCTTTTTTCCTGATTGGTTTATTATTATTATTATTATTATTATTATTTATTTCCTCCTTTAAGGGTTTGTTTGTTTATTTTTCCTCCTTTTTTATTTGTTGTTTTTTTTTGTAGTATTCTGTTTTGTTTTGTTGTTCCGTTATCATACATCACATTCTGAGTCGCTGGAGGTTACCGAGAGGATGGACGTGCCCGTCTCGGCTCGTTCCGTCAGGCTGGAGACGCTTGTGGTGGGGCTGGCCGCCGTGGACGGAGACTCCGCCGAGCTGTGGGTAGGGCAGCCCGGTTCTGACAAGGACCGCATGCCGCTCTGTCCGATCGCCTGGTGCTGGAGCCTGCAGGACGCGGGGTTGGGGGTTGGTGGGGAGACAAAGGAAGAGCACACAGATCCTTGCTCAGAAAGGAAAGCCACACAGAAAGGGAAAGAGGCGAGACTCCCCGAAAACGCGGCCCTCGAACGCAGCAATCCAGGCGCGTAAAAGCGCATGGCTAGGGAGGGGACCCGGATCCCAAAGGCGCTTGCCAAGAGGGCGCAACAATCCCGATCTAGCCGGAGACACCTTCCCTTTTTCTCCAGCAAACCCTTCGCTCAAACAACCGCTTAGCCTGGTTTATCGAGAATCCTTCCTTCCTCCCCTCTCTCTTTGCTTTCGGCCTGATCTCAGGCCAGCCACGGGGCCCGCTGCCGCCTTCTCTTTGCTGCCCAGCGCGGCGCTGCAAGCCAGCTTCCTGCCTGCAATGGCCCTCTCTCCCTCCGCAAAAAGTGTTTCAAATCAAAGGAGAGGGGGTGGGGAGGTTGTTGTTGTTGGGGGGGAGAGAGTTAAAAGCAAGCAAAGGGACTTCGGACAGAAAAGGTCGCTTGGAAAGCACAGAGTAAAAGAAACGCTGTAATTATATTTTTAAAAAGAGCGGGGTGGAAAAGACAGAGGGTTTGCGTAGGAAAGCAATTGGCACGTTCAGAAATGCACACACAGAGAGAGACGCCAAGGCAGGCACATAAACGCACAAACGGGCCGCTATCGTGTTGGTTTGCAAAATATTAGTCCGTTTCAAGCTAACGCTCCCCTTACTCACACTATCTCTATCCCTGTGGCCGGTTTCACTTGCGAGGAGCGGCCATCTGTGGGCCTCGATCTAACCTCTAGCGCATTTGCCGCCGCCGCCGCCCCCATTGAGTGACAGTCCAGCCCTAACAACAAACGTGGACAGTCACAAACGGTGGTCTGTAGAAGCAAAGGGTGGCGCCTTCTCAGATAGCCCCCGTGAATCACTTAAATAAATGCGTACCTATATACAGACATACACACACACTTGCAACACTTTCAAAAAAACCCCATAAAATAAACAAGCACCCAAACCAAGTGATGACACTGTTTTGTGGGGAGAAGGTGTCCGGAGAGCAGCATTTCCCAAGTCATCTGCATGCTCAATCTTCTCTCTCTTACACACACACACGTGTATTTTCCAGCAATGCATTTATAGTTTTATTTATTTATTGCTTTTGTTGCGGCCGGCGGCCGAATTCTCAGACTGCCTTTGGAAACATACAGACCGTCCAAGAGACAAAGGAATCTCGGCCGCTGCTCTTTATAACAGTCAACAACTAAGTGGATTTCTATAGGGTGGGTGGCTGGGGAAACCAAGCCCAGCGAAAAAACAATCTGCAACCGCAGCAGAATATTCTGAATACTAACACACAAGGCGCTGGACGGTTATGAACTCTTGAGCCGTTCAGATCAAGAGAGCTGGGGGTGGGGGGCGCTGAGTACACTGAGAAGTTGATTGCACACCCCCAAAGGCCAGTGCATTTTTTAAAAAAAGTGTAGGATCAGAGGCAAAAGAAAATAGCCAACAAATAAACAAAACAAACATTGTGCCGAGCCCTGAAATCCTTTGTAAAATGTTTTGAAAGACAGCCTTCGGGCAACTGGGTCCTGTAAGATTTTAATCCCCCTCTTCACCTCCGCAGTGAAGTGATTTTAAATATATTACATATTTAAATTGCGTTTCTGCACTTTTTATTTCCATACTGTTTACTTATTCCCCCCCCCGTCCCTCCACCGCTGCCTTACAGTTCCTAGTCACCTACTGACAACTCGGTGAGTCAACCCAAACCTTTAGCAACTTTCCGGCTTCTCTGTTATGAGTCGATCTATTCTCCCTCCATTGATGAAGCTGAAAGGTGGTTTTTTATTTTATTTTTATGCTTTCTTGCTTCCCCCTCAACCCCCTGCTCTACATTTCAGATTAAACTTTACCAAAATATACATTGCTATATAAACTGGGAAAGTCCAATTGGAGGAGGTAAAGTGCCACCCTTTGTTTATATTTTCTGCATTGTTTCATGGGACCCTTAAAATTCTTTGTGATCTTATTTATTTTCAAAGCTATTATTTAAACCCGAACATTCTTAAAGCCACGTTGAGCAATAAGGAATGGCAAGAAGATTCTGCGTGGCACACCGACACAATAAAATCACGCCTGCTCACACAAACCCCTGCATATTTATTTACATACTCATAAACATGCATAACTCAAACTAATGACATCCGGAAACAGAGATAGGAGAGGGCGGATAGCTTAAAAAAATGCTTTCCCTTCATTTTATTTTTATTTCCGCACCCCCGCACCCCCACCCTCTCGCCTGTCTTTCTTTCGGCAAATGAATTTGTTTTGTTTTTTTATATAATTAATAAGAACAATAGAGGAACAGCTGCCTTCTTTTCGCTCTGTGGAAGAACGCTTCGCATTATTATGTTTGTTTAAACTGTTTATAGCTTGGGCGGAGGGGAGAAAAGTTAAGTTGCCAAATACAGCTTTCACGGCACAAATAAAAAAAAATACATCTAATCCGCACCCCTTCTGCATTTCGCTGCGAGGAGTTGTCCCTGTTGTTATTGTTGATGTAGCAATAACAATCATGGCGGTAAAAATAATAGGCAATCTATGAACAAAAAGAAAGAGGACGTGCGAAAAGGAGAATGAAATTTTTAATTAAATTAAGAGCTCCATCCAGAGCTAAGAGGGTTTACACCCATTCTTCTCAGTTGGTTCCACTGGGTGTGGAGATAAAGTCCCTTTATTTTGTGGTTTTTGGATCCCTAGTTAGAGTAGGCACACACGCGCACGCATACACACAGAGAGACATACATTCTGCGTTCAGAAAACTGCAAAGCATTTAGAACTGTGAAGGAGAGGGATGGAGTTTGGAAAGAATGTGAAACTTTGAACGGGTGGCGGAATCGAGTTGCTTCTGTTGAGCAGCCCATTCGGGAAGGGGAAGCGAGCCCTGTCTTTGGCTGTGTGAGGAGCATAGTCCCCTTGATAGCTCCCAGGTGGGGAGGGAACCCTCTAAGGGCCTCGTTTTGCTTTTTAACAGAGCCCACTGACTTCCTTATCCCTGCTGTTGAAGCCAGCGAGCCCTCTAGGACAAGATTTAAGGTCCCCCATATCACACGCACACACACGCAGAACTGAACCCAAAGGCGGTTTTTCAAAGGGTCAAGGGAAGCCGCGCTTGCAAAGGCGTTCTCATTCTTGGGAGACTTGCAGGAGGCGAGGCGTCCGATCTAGGCAAGGCAGGCCCCGCGTGGGATGGACGTGGGTTTGTGTCCTGGCTGTTTGAGCCCCGCACTCCCGCTGCCTACCCCCACCTTCAAGCCTCACCCCCCACACACACACACACGCCCAGCTTCAGCCGGCTGGCACTGACCTGTTCTTGGCGGCGGCCGCCCGGTCTCTCTGCCTGCGGTTCTTGAACCAGTTGCCCACTTGCGTGGGGGTGAGGCCGGTGGCCTGCGCCAGTTCCCTTTTCTTGCTGGGGTTGGGATAGGGGTCCTGGAGGTACCACTCCCTCAGGAGGCTGCGAGTCCTCTCCTTGAAGCAGTGCGTCTTCTGCTCGCCGTCCCAGATGGTCCTGGGCAAGGGGAACTTCTTGCGCACGCGGTACTTGTCGACGGGGCCCAAAGGTCTCCCGCGGAGCTTCTCGGCTTCCTGGTAGTGCGCTTCCAGCCACATAGCCTGCAGCTTGCCGTGCGACTCCTTGGTGAACTTGTGGTTCTCCAGGATGTGGTAAAGGTCTCGAAAGTTGCCCGTGTGGAAGGCCACCACCGCCCGGGCGCGCAGGATGGATTCGTGCTTGTTGATCGCCTCGCATGCCCCCGGCGCTACCGGCAGCGACCACAAGAAGCGGCCCAGCCTCTCGATGTCGCCCGTCTCCTCCAGCGTCTCGCAGACGCTGGCCACTTGCTCCGGGGAGAAGTTGAGTGTGGGCAGCTGGAACATGGACAGTTCTTCCGGGGCTCCTCGAGAGGCGCCTCCTCCTCCGCCGCCGCCACCGGCGGATCCTCCGCTACAACCGGTGGCGGCACTGCCGCTGCCGCCGCTGCCACCGCCGCTGCCTCCTCCTCCTCCTCCAGGTCCGGAGCTGCTGCCACCGCTGGCCAGAAGGAGCGAGCGGTGGTGGTGGTGCGGGTCGCTGGGGAAGTTTGGCAGGAAGAAGTGGGTGGGATAGAGCTCTAGAGGGGACCTGAACACCATGGGACCCAGCCTGGCGGACGGGGAAGGGGGGTCGGAAAACGAGAGAGAGAAAGAGAAAGAGAGAGAAAGGGAAAGAGAGAGAAAGAGAGAGAGGAGCTGGATCAAAGCGAAAAGAAAGGAAGACAGGAAGACGGAGAAGGCGCAGAGAAAGAAGAAGAGGAAGAGGGGAGGGACAGGGGGATCACGCACCCCACGCGCATCCACACCCGCACCCGCACGCGCAGCCACATAGAGACCCTCATCCAAACGCACACACGCACTCAGCCGCGCGCGCGCACTCCCCTCTCTCTCTCATACACGCACACAAACACCCTCACTCACTCCCGCCACCTTTCACACACACTCGCACACGGGCAGGCAGGCACCGGCTCGCTCGCTCACTCACACGCACACGCGTGCCCAGGCGGGCGGGCAGGCAGGCATCCGCGCGCTGCTGCGGGCTCTCTCCACACACACACACCTCCCGACCCGGGCGCCGCTGCCGCCGCCGCCGCCGCCGAGGCGCAAAGCGATTCAGTGATTCGGCCGCGATCGCCCTAATGACAACAGCCTCATAATATCTCTCCTAAATCCACCGTGAGTGCAGCGCCGAAGCATTTTGTTTCGCTTTTCTATTGGCCCGCCGGGTGTCGTTGTGGCGTCGCCATGGCAGCGCCCTGCCAATCACTGTCAGGCCTGCCAATCATGGGGGACTACGTAAGAAAAAGGGCTCTTACCACGGCGCCCAAAGGCGAAGGGGAGGGGAGTTGGGAAGGAAGAAGCCAGCCAGCCAGCCAGCCGGGAGGAGGGGCGGGGGGGGGAGGGCGATCGGAGGAAAGCTTGTGTATGTGTGTTAATCTTTGCAACTCCTAATCTTAGCACTTCCACTTCTCTCGCTGCGTCTCTCGTCCCCCCCCCTCCAACACTCCCCACCATTCCATTCCCTAAATAAAAATGGTTTTTAAATAAATTCTTTGGTGGGAGGCGGATGCGCAAGGCAGTGCGCAGCGCCTCGTTTGAATGGGATCAGCAATTACACGCGGAATATGACCGCCGCCTTTCAGAAGAACCCCCCCTTTGAGCTAAAGGAAGCGAGAGGGAAGCGGGGAGAAAGTAGAGAAAACGAAGAGACCTGGGCCAACCAGCCCGCCCTGAGCTGGGTCTTCGAGAGAAAGGGCTCCGAACGGAGACCATTTACACATGATTTGCACGTAGTTGCGCTTCATTCTGCCTATCTGAGCACTAATAGCGCCGGGGAAGAAAAGCTAGATGAGATCATTAGGCCCATCCTCAGGCCGCTGACCCTGCCAGGAGCAGCATCTAAATGCAGGGGAGGCGCGGGGAGGGTGGGGTGGAGTGGAGGGAGAAGGAGGAGAGGGTGAGCTTGCTATGTGCCGTATTTCCTCTCTCCTTCTCCCTCTCTCTCCCCTGCCCTCCACCCCACCCCGCTCTGAGTTTCTGAGAGGCTGGCCTCACAAGACAAAACTTTGCCAAACTCGTTTTTTTCCCCTTGGATCGCCGGGATCTGGTGCTGGGAGAGTCCCAAGAAGGAACCGCGGGAAACTGAGGCCGACGGGACTGAGTTCCAAATCGGGCTGCGAACTCCCACGCGCCTTTCACCCGGGAGAAAACGCCCCACGCAGCCAGTGGAGCTCTGGCTTCTGAATGTGGCCACCACAGGCCACCCTCCGCAGTCTTGACGCGCGGGGCCACAGGAGACTCCAATCCAGCCTCCTTTCTTTGTTTATTTGTTTGTTTGTTTGAGGATTGTGGCAGACATAATTACGCTCTGGTGAATTCTTTTTCAGGGGCCGGGTGGGTGGGCTCGGATTGCAGCCCAGAACTTCCCCCAAACTGGTCCTCATTCCCTCCCCCGCGCGCCCCTGGACGCTGCTCACGGATTTTCTTCCCGCAGGCCTTTCGCCCTGCCCAAGCGAGTTTCGTAAACCCACCGGGGATATTGCCCTGATATAATAACCTCAGGATTGGTTGCATCTCTGCGTAGGTTTCTCACCCGTCTCAATTCTTTCTTTCTTTTTTAAAGGTCGAAGAGTAATCAAAATATTCGTGGAGGGCGGAGTCTGGTGGAAACCCCATATTTACACCTATATCTATAGGTGAAAACAAAACGCTGCATGCTTATCGCTGGCCCTAAAGCTAAGCCGGCCTTTTCCGTCCAGCCGCCTGCCTCCATTTATCCTTTAGGTGCGTTCCTTTTAAGGCGATTTTAATCGGCATCTTGAGCTGGTAACTCCTTTTGTTTGGTAGCTGCGGCTATGGAAGTGTGATTTACAGAGATTTGTACGGGTCATGGATGTCTTTCCAGCCTTACTGTGTATATTTAGACAGGACTTTGGTTGGTGTTAAAAAGTGTATATTTTGAATGGGTTCACACACAGTAGCAAAACAATGCGGACATTGTCAAGGCATGTAGAACGCGTATTGAAACGCAGCATCCAGACTTTTCCTAATCTGCCCTCAATAAAGCTGAAATAATTATCCTAAGCCGTCTTTCTAGAAGAAGAAGGGGGGGGGGATCATTGAGGAATTCAAAACTTTTTTAAAAAAAAACCTTGGGGGGGGGGAGAGAAACTTTGCTCTGCATTCCGATGCAGATCTAGTAGTACGAGGGGAGGGCTAGGGGGGGTGAGACATGGAGCCCAAACTCCTTGCAGACATCAATGGGAGCGGAGAGGGAAGAGGTGGGGGCAGATGTGCAATTAAAATGGGGAAACATCGCGTGACTTGGCTTATTCGGGGGGGGATAATAATCATCATAATTCGCAATGCTGCAATGAGAGAGTGAGAGAGAGAGTCTTTAACCGGACTCCCAAACTGGTCGGGATCTTTTCACTGCGCAGCCCCCATGAAATAAATGCCAAGTGGCAGATGAATAGGTCCAGTTGGAATAGCTATTGGACTGGAAGATCCTGGCTGGATTATGTATTCATCACTTCTCTAGCAAACTGTCAACGGGGGTGTGCTACGTTGGTTCATATTCCTAATGAAAACAACTCACCCTCTTAATTTTTAGTGATGTACTTAAACACTTCTGTTAACATATTTGCCGGGAGGGGTGGGCTGGGGTGGGAGCCGAGGAATCCTTCCCTCGCCATCCTCAGTCCCTTGACCCAGCTCAAATTTCAGCCCTACGCGGTGCTGATGCGCGGTCGGTTTTATGAAAGCCAGGAATTGCCCACCGTCGTGTTCAGCAAAAAAAGGGAGGGAGTAGGGTTATACAGAGCACCTCATCATTACAAGCATTCTCTTATAGGTAAAGGATTATAGACAAGGGGGAGAAATGAGGTTAATGATTCGGGAAATGGGAAAGCGGGGCAAGAGTTCTTTCTTCGCTCTGTTCGTCTTACACGATTAGGAAGAAAGCAGTTGGGGAGAAAAACTACCACTAGTCTCCAAACTGTTCCTTCTTCCAACCCAGACGTTGCCTGCTCCCAAGAACCTTTCGTGCCCGTCCGTGTCTTTCAGCGGGACAGCTTCGTAACAGCCGGATCCTACACGTGTCTGCTCCGGAGTTAAGGCCTGTTGAGATCCACGGGCCTTCCTTCGGAGTAAACGGGCCTGGGCCGCAGCCGCCCTTCGAATCCTGCCTCTCTTGAGCAAAAGGTCTCCATACACTTTAAACGTGGGGTTCACGGATGGGTTTGACTTCGACGTAAGGCGTTTGGGGTTGCGGGGGTAGAGATGGGGGACCCACACAGAAGTTGTATTTCTCTCTCCCGCTAACTTTCACCCAGCCCCTTCAGGCGCTTAATCGACAAACTATGGGGAAAAGACGGGGTTTATTACACTTCTCAGCTGAGCTCCTATTCTCTCCTAGCGCAGAAACATCCTGAAAAGAATAAATGCCCATATCTTTCTCTTGAGTCTTCACGAATCGGATGGAACAAGCTTCTGCCCTCCCTAGCTGATGCGTCCCACAAGCAGTGGGGGCTTCCTTTTCCCATACTAGAGACTAAGATGGATAAGGGGCAAAATATGAAAGGACATCTCAGCAGGTGGAAACAAGCCCGGGTCTTCTTCTGACTAAGACGTGTTGATTCTTAGCTCGGCCGTCCCCAAGGCGACTTTCTGCAGACAACCCCGGACTTCTGTTTCTAACGCAGCGTCAGCCATCTCCCCAATGCCGACCCCAACCTCGTTTCTGGATACCGGTGCCTTTGTGGCCCCTGCCGCGGTTATCCTCCCCAAACACCCGAGCGCGCACACAAGCGCACGGACAAACTTTGGGCATTGTTACCGGGTATCGGGTGGGAGGGGGGGGCGGACAGCGAGGATAGGCTTTGCCCTAAGCAGGGCGACTGGAGCTCTACATCTCCCCTCGCCTAAGCCTGTTAGGGACACATTCTCCTGTCCTTAAACGTACAAGCAGATAATTGTTGGCGCGCTATCTTTGTACGGAGGAGGCCAGGGTGTAAATGCCTTTTAATGACTGCAGCTGCTGGCTGAAAACTGTCAATGGAATTGGCGAACACAGAGCCCCCGGAAAAGAAAAAGAGAGAGAGAGAGAGAGAGAGAGGAGAGGCGCTTTTTTCCTTTTTTTTTTTTTTTTTTTTTTTTGCAAGCAAACTGCTGAGCCTGAGAGCCGCTGGAGCCGGAGAGCGAGCGAGCGAGCGAGAGAAAGAGACAGACAGAAAGGAAGGAGGAGGAGGAGGAGGTGAAAAGAGAAAGAGTGATCGGAGGAAAGATCCCAGCAGCCGAGCCGTCCGCTCTTCCGCCTCTTCACCCGGGCCAAAGACATCAAGCCATGCTGACCTTGAAAATCCTTTCCGGATCCTGTAAGTGGCGGTTTGTTTGGGGGGATGATTTTTTTTTTAAAAAATAATAATTCATACGCTCAGGTCCCACCGGAAAAGCTCCTGCTCTTTTTTGTTTGTTTGTTCGGGGTTATGTTTTCTTTCTTTTTAAGGATCCATTCCCACCCCCACCCCGCATCTCACTTCCGTGACCCGATGGCTTAAGAACTCGGGGATAGAGTTCGATCCCCATCTTTGCTAAGGAGCCCGGGAGGGGAGGAGAAGGGAGGGAGGGAGGGAGAGAGAGAGAAGAGGAGAGGAGAGAGGTCGTAGCGGGTACAACGCCTCTGCTCGCAGCCTGCTTGTCTTTTCTTCGACACGCTTGCTCCTTCCTTGGGGCTCTGCATTTCTTTACCCGCCCCCCAATCCCTTCCACCAAAGGGCATTTTGCACCCTGATTTTGAACAGGCTAAGAGGAACAGAAGTCAATTCCCCGGGAGAGATCAGTGGGGCTTGCTTCCCAAATAATGTGCTTTGGACAGGATGGCGGGGCGCGCTGAGTGGGGGGAGCCGTCTCTGACCGCTGTTCCACCTCGTCACTCGTTTGGAAGGGGTTGTTTCAGCATTTAGAACCCGGAGACGATTTCACCAGTGCTGGAACTACCTGGAACACCTAATTTGAGGGAAGCGGGTTCCCAAGTAATTGTCTTCCTCGGAAGTCAGTCCCTTTGAATTCAATGGGGCTTCCTTCCAGGTCCTTCAGGGTCCGGGGAGGAGGCGGCGCTCCTCTTGCGCGTGTTTGCTTTAAAATCCAGTCTCTCTTTGGGCAATTCGGTGGATGCCATCGCGCGCCACCGAGAAGCAAATCCCATTTGTGTGAATGGAGCTTGATACCACAAGTGCGGATCCTGAAAGCGTCATCTTAACACTTCAGCATCTCCACCGCGCCTTGTCTTGGGACTCCAAGCGCCTTTGGTTCAAATGTAATAACTGAGGGATGGGGGGTTGTCTCTCCTTGTCTGCGGGATTGCTTTCTTTTGTGCTTCCCAGTTTATCCCTCTTTCCTGCAGCCCCCACCTTCCTTTAATCCTGATTCTGTCCGGAACGACCTACCAGGCGGGTCAGATTCTCTCCCCTGCTTTTATGTGTGTGCTCAGATTGTGTGCTCAGTACAATTCTGGGCTTCCGCTGGAAATTAAAAAAAAATGTTGGGAAGAACAGGGAAGAATTAAGAAAGGGAAACCGGAATAAAAGGAAAAGGAAAGGAGAACTCAGATCAGCCACAATTACACACACACCCCTAGACACAACAACCAACAACAACAACAACAGGTTTTCATTGAATTACTTAATAGCAAGCAGTGATTATGTCCTGCTACAATTATATCCTTAAAAAAAAAAGAAGGCTCCCTTCCCCATTTCAGAATAAGAAACGAATACATATGTTAGACGTCCTCTTAAGTTTGACCCACTCGGCAGCTGTAATTCAATCCGGTTGATGTGAAGGGTGTGTTGTGCACGCGGGTGTAAAAACCGAAGGCAAAGGACTCTGGCGGGGCGGGGCGGGGGGCTAGTGGGGATAAGTTTGCATTAACTGGCTCAAAGCCACCTCCAAAGGTTCAAGGTGAAACTTTATATATATATTTCACTATTTCTTTTCTGCTGGTAACATCGACGTTAAGGCTGTAGCCTTAAACTCCTTTATCTAGTGGTTGAATCCAGCGAGCTTTTCTTCTAAGCAGACAAACGTGTAGGACTGTGCTGTTCAGAGTGACAAAGAAACCGAATTGGTTTCGGTTAGGAAGAGTGCAGAACGTGTGTGTATGCCTAGTTTTGAAGCCAATAAATTCTGTGTGGAAGAAAAAGTTGTTCTTCTGTTAAAAGGAATAGTTGAGTTTCTAAAGTAGCCCTCTCCAATCCCCTTGCAACGAGTTTGTTGCAGGGATTCAGAGCTCTCCTTTTCAAAAAGGTCTCTCTGGTAGCAAATCCTGTTTCTCTCCTATAGTTTGTCCGGGTAGTTCCTTTTTCCACTTCCTGACAAGGGCACTCTAATTCCAGGTGGAAGGTCTTTTGCTTCGAGTCTTCCGATTTCTGCACTATTTTCAACCAGCCACCCAACTTTCCCCCACGGGGACCTTGGGTTTGCTTGTCTGAAGGTTTGCACTTTCCCCCGGTTGCTCGGGATCCCAAACCATTTATGCTCCGCAATAATTCCCTCACATTTCAGAGGACTGTATCTCAAGTAACAATACCCCCTGATTAAATGCAGGTACTTAGAAATTCAGTCCCAAGTGACTAACAGTCAGGCGCTCAGACTGATCTTATGCAAACGAGGCTACTCCAAAGTAAGTGTTGATCCTTATTTACTTGTAATTACGCCCAGGTAAGTGTATATAAAATTGTAGACTTATCCGCACCCTACGGCTTCAATTTAGAGTTAGGAGCGGCCCAATTATTTCAGTGGAACTTAAACTGGCTTCAGGCTACAGTCCCATTATACGTGGGAGGGGGGGAGCAGCATTGGTTTCAGTGGCACTTACTTCCGAGTAAACAATCCTGGGATCGAGCTTCTCCTGCCCACTGGGTTATGGCCCCATGTGTTTAGGATCAGAAAGTGGTCCCAGTCCTGCGGGCAAAATCCTGATTGTGTAAATCCCACTGAGTCCGGTGGAACTGATCTCCTAAGTCACTGTGTTTCAAACTGCAGCCATGACCTGGAAATCGTTTCCTTGCACGGTCTTGAATACCGTTAAATTTTGTTATTGAACATACACACACGCGTGCATGCATATATCAGTGCAGGCGTAAACTTTAAAGAATAGTTACAGTTACTGGAAGACAGTACCTATTGCTTACTCCAAAGAAAACGTGCTTTAAGGATGCTATTGTTATACGCATCCTCGGTAGTAAATATCGCCAGGTACAGCGGGGCTTTACTTCTGAGTGGCTCCGGATCAGGCCGCACCAATCGGTGCAAGGGAGATCCTTAATCTAATTTAGAAGCTGCAGTTTAGCTATGTTAAGTAGAAGACACCCTCGGGCTTCTTGGCAAGGGCTGACAAGGGCCAGCCAGGCCGTTGGGACTGATAGCCGCCTCATGACTTAGAAATGTTAACGTTCCCATGCAAAAACGCAGGGGACAGTGTTAGCCGGATCCTACGCTGGGCTTTAAACAGAAACAAGCCCTTCCGCACTCAGCAAGCCCAAGGAAAGACGCACAACGTACGGCAGCCCAGCGAAGTTTCTTCGGTCCACAGGCCTGAAAAGGAGGACGCCGAGAGAGCGCAGGCAAAGTACAGGCATGGCTGAAGTCCGATTCTCCACTTTTCAAAACAAGAACTAAACAAGAAAAACCAGAGTACTACGATTTCCATTCCAAATTGTTCTCTCTCTTTTAATTCCCAAATTCCTGGCGCGAGGAGGAGAAGGGAGGAGTGGGGGGGGACCCTGAATATCTTATCAATCTCTGGCAGTGACCCTCATTAGGGGGGCACCCTGCTCGAGGCCCCGCCGTTGGAAGAAGGCTGCCCAATCAGAGCGATTGCACGCCTTGTTAGTGATGGCTGTAATGAAGCTTCGCCATACACTCGAAGAAAAGCTCCCTCAATGCCGATTTACCTAATGTCAACTCGTTACTTCTAATGAATCGCATCAAAACCCGGCCCTGAATGGGAAGCGGGGAGCAGGCGCTGAACCTGCAGCCCCTCCGCCCTCTGCTACAACCACCCTGGGCTGCCTGCTCCCACCTCATCCAACCATCGCCACCTCCTTCCCTTCTGCGCCTTTGAAGAGGAACGTTTACGCAGCTCTGGGATCTCGGGGAGGGGGGTGGGAGACGACGCTCGGTGGGCCCGATCCACCTAAAGCAATCCGTGACTGGCAGTGCAATTTGGCCCTCACAACGACCCTGTGAGGTAGGCTCAAACACAGAGGGCGCCTGTCCCGAAGCGCGTCATTGCTGGGCAGAGATTTGAACCCACCATCTCCGTAGGCAGCGCTTGTCTCTAGCCCCGACGCCACCCCTGATTTTTCTTTTCAGTGGGAATTCCGACCCAGGCTTATCCTCATTAAACCAGAAGTGCGTTTGTTAAGTACCTACATTGGAGTTTAAGGCAGGGCGGCCGCCAGGCCATATTGCGTCACGGGTGAGACAAGGCAGAAATACTCCCCTACATTTCGAAGGGACTGATCTCCCCAACTCCCGCCAAAAAGGATTGAAACCACCTTCCCTGGATTGGGACCAGCGCCCTTAGGGGGACGGGGCAGTCGCGTGGTGCCTGCTGCGTCGGCCAAAAAAAGGGACGTGGCCCCTTTAAATCCGGGGCTCCAACATTCCGTAAGGGAACTTTGCAGCAGTTAAGAGTCTTTGCGCTGCGTTTTCGCTTTTCTCCGAAGGGGCGGGCGCGCCGCCCTTTAAAATCAATTAGTATTTTTCTATTCTGGAGGTAAATTATTCAAACAAATGTTTGGAAAGACCCCGAGGGGGGAATTTGGCCATGACAAAAGGTTTGATTAGCCTGATTTCCTCCTCCCCCTCGGCTCCCCCCTTCCTCCAATACACACACCTCCCCAAAAGTAACAAAGCACAGAGGAGCTCCAAGCCACTAGAAGAGGGCAGCGCCAATTAAACGCCCGCCATTCTCTTCCTCGCCCGAAAGTACCCCCAAACTGGGGGTGGGAGCTCGCGGCTCTGGGTGTATGTTTGTTTGGGGGGGGAGGATTTATGGCCTTGTATTTGCCAAAGTACAACAAGCAAAGAAAGCAACTACTGTACCACAAATATCAGAAAAGCAGCAAAGTGCTAATGGTGTGTGTGTGGGTGTGGGTGTGTCGGAGAGCGGGGAGAGCTCGATCCAAACAATAGCAAGCCCTAAATGCAGATTATTACATCCACCGATCCTCGTCCATTATCTGCCCTCCGTACTGTCTATATATTGATTTCCATATCCGCGTTTCATGTCTGTGAAGAGAAAGGGCGAACCAACAGAGTCCAGAGGCTGAACTGCAGTTCCCCTTTGGTCCTTGCAAGCATGGCGAGTGTG